GGAGGTTCTTATCTCCCTTCAGGGTCTGGGGGCCCTGGGTCTAGGAGGTTCTTATCTCCCTTCAGGGTCTGGGGGCCCTGGGTCTAGAAGGTTCTCAGTGCAGGCACCCTCTACCAGTGCTTCTTTCTTGGTGGTAGCGAGACCCCTTCTTCCCTGCTCACTGTCTACCTGTTGATCTCGTGCAATTAAAGGTGACACAGGCCACACCCCAGGGAAGATCCCCTTACATGCGTCAGGGCTGTGGCCCGAGGAAGGGGGCTGCATCCCATCCTCATTCCTGAACGACTGACTGCTGATCACACCAGCTCACACCGTGGGGTGATGGCAACCTACCACTGAGAATCCGGGCCCAGGCAAGCTGACCCTTATCTGGGGGGACACAGTCCAGTGTGTGGCACTAGAAACATGTCTTTCTTTCCACAGATCCCCAAAGATGAGCACATTCTTCGGTTCCTGCGTGCTCGAGACTTCAACATTGACAAAGCCAGAGAGATCCTATGTCAGTCACTGACGTGGCGGAAGCAACACCAGGTGGACTACATTCTGGACACCTGGAACCCGCCGCAGGTCCTTCAAGATTACTACGCAGGGGGATGGCACCACCACGCCAAAGGTAACCACAGCCCGGCCATCGTCTCGGTTTGCATCACCATCTGACTCCAGGGGAAGTAGAGGCATTCAGAAGCCGAGCGGAGGACCTCTCTTCCTTCCTCAGGACAGTGGCCCTCCGCATTTTCCTATCTTAGGACAGGTCACTGGTACATCTTTCTCTTTCTCGCTCTGTTCTGAGGCAGCATGGTAGCACCCACCTCGTGACACACCTGGGGTCCCACAGGGAGCTGTCCAGCAAGGCCTGTGTTTGAGTGTCCATCACGGGCCCACGGTGCCCCTGGGAGAATCACTGAGCGCCTTGTTAGTGAGCTAGCCCGGTTCCCCTGCCTGTGTGAACTCTGCGAGGGGAGAGGTTTTCTGGGGTGCAGGGCCTCCTCCTGGTGCTGTAGGGTAAGCACTGCACTGCTAACCCCAGGGGTGGCACTTTAGACCCATTAGAAACCTTATGTTGTTGTTTAGTGCTGTTGAGTCAGTTCAGACCCATAGCAACCCTGTATAGGGTTTCCTAGGAGCAGCTGGTGAGCTTGAACCACCGACCTTGTAGTTCAAATGGCTTTGCAGCCTGGTGCATTAACCCACAGCGCCACACCAGGACTTCTATACAGACAGGGTCGCTATGTGTTGGAGCAGACTCAGTGGTACTTAACAATGACAGTGCTGGTCAGGGGACTTTTCAGTGATTCTAAACTTGTGGAACTGGTTTCTGTGTTGAAGCGATGAAGAGCTTTGGTGTCTGCACTGGGCAGTAAAGGAAGCAGCAGTCCAGGGCTCACGATGAGAAAGTCCTAAAGGAAGACCTGGCTGCTGCTCACACCACATCCGACACGAACCCCTTCCCGTCCCGGACGGACGCACTCCCCATTCCCCAATGTAGGCCCCAGATGTGGGGAAGCCGCCCTCTGAGTTCCCTGTAGGACTGAGCCCTCTCCCACTTCAGGACACACCGTACAGCCCCCACGGGTCTGCTTCTCTGCCTGGTTTTTGTATTTCTCTAGATTAATTCTGACTTTTACTCGATTTTACTCGAAGCACGGCTTTGTTGCTGTCAAAGTGCTGTTGAATCACTTCCAACTCATCATGCTCACGGTATTCCAGTTTGTCATCCTTAGAAGATGAAGAAAGCTAGTATACATTGACATACGTGTCTTCTTACATGTTGTGAAGCTTTTTTGTTTTAATTAACCTTTCTACAAGATTTTCGGGCACAAACACTTGTTGCTTTTAAGCAGAACAGATGGAAAGACAGGTTTTGCTGGGAGGTGACATCCACCAGGTGATACACAAAAGTTTGAGTTATATGACCCTTCCTGTGGCACAGTGGGTTAAACACCAGGTTGCACACCAAAAGGTTGGGGGTTCAAACCCATCCAGTGGCTCCACGGGAGAAAGGTTTACAGCCTCGGAACTCCGAGTTATAGTCGAGTTGATGGTGTGGGTTTGGGTTCTTTGTTTGATGACCCTCCGCTAACAGCTTTCTGAGCATGGTCCGTTCATGTCCCTCCTGTGGCTCTCAGCACCGGAGGCAGGGGTCTGGTAGCTCTGGCCACACGCATGCTCAGTCACACGAGCTCTTTTGTCCTTGGTGTGATGGGCACTGATGGCGTAGCACACAGGTGATGAGTTAGGTTCCTCCCAGGCTCCACCCTTCAGACCTCCAGACCACAGCCAGCATTTACTGATGAGTTTAAAGCTTCCCTGAAAGCCCTCATTTATCCCTGGTTCTCAGGGCGGGATTGAGTAAAGCAGACTTTTTAAAAACCGAACGAGAGAAACTTAAGTACTCTGTTGTTGTAGGGTGCTCTTGTGTTGGTTCCAGCTCACAGCCGCCCTGTACAGGGTTTCTCGGGGTGACTGGTGGGTATGAACTGCCCGTGGTTACCCTACAATGCTGTACTCAGAGAGCAGTGTGACTCGGGGTTCCCTGCTGTGCAAAACCAAAACCGGCACTCGCTCACCCCTTGGTTGGTGAGGTGGAGAGAGCTAGCCTGGACCTGGGAACTGCTCCCCTCGCCCCTAGGAGCTCTCCCCAGACCCCGATGAGCTGATGAGCTGTCCCATGTTTGGCGCTTTTTTTCTTTCACAGTTTAGTGGGGTAGGGGTGTGGGAACCCCTCACGGGAGCTCGTTGGAAATCTAGGAGAGAACACGTTCCCTTCCAAAGGTTCTATTGCTGCCTTATTGCTGATGCCCTTTTTCCGTCCCCCTGCAGACGGGCGACCCCTCTACGTGCTCCGGTTGGGACAGATGGACACGAAAGGCTTAGTGCGGGCGCTCGGCGAGGAGGCCCTGCTGAGATACGTGAGTGTTTCCTGCAGGTGGGGCGCCGCACACAGGGGCCTGGAGAATGGGAGAAGTCTATTTCAAGCAAGCTGGGAGATCTTAGGGAATAGATGGGATCTCTCCGATAAAAGATGCCTGCTGTTGTAGGCTGGGTTCTCTAGAGAAACAAAGCCAGTGAAGCTTTGATATCTGCACATCCACATCTGCAGAGAGCTTTGTATTTATGGACTGGCTCACGTGGTTGTAGTTGTGGGCAAGCCCGTGGGCCAGATATCAGGCTGGAGGCTTCTCCCGACTCACAGAGCGGCAGGTCACACAGCGGGCCTCTCACTGCAGAGACTGAATCCCAGGTCGCCAGGTAAGCTGGCAGGCTACTAACGTCTCCCAAAGTTGGTGGGCAATAATACAACAGGCTGCTGCTGGCTCAAGTCCAAAGAAGCAGACAGAGGTCAGGTGGCGAGCCAGCAAAAGCAAGTGAGCTTTGTCCGAATGTCCAGTATGCTGGAAGCAGGCCACACCCCCAAGGAAATGTCCTTTCAGTTGATTGGCTGTTCATAGCCGCTCTCTTCATGTTAGTGGCTGTGTTCTCTTAGATCTTATCATGAAGTACTGCCCCAGTCAAACTGACACAGAACCTTAACTCTCACACCCATAAACAGTCAAATCAACTAGGAGAAACGACTTTTAGCCTCTGCTCCACTAGACAAACGTTAGGTGTTTCTAACGTTCAAAGAATCCCTGTGAGTTCAAGATGAAGAAGTGAGAAAAGCTTTCAGTCGGCGGTGCACAGGAGAGGAAATGTCAACGAGTAGGAAGCAGCGGAGAAGATGCTCAGGCAAATGCGCAACCAGGGAGCCGCACGTCCCCACCGGCAGTGAGTGCCACCGGTGGGCTGTGAAAATGAGAAGCATCTATGGCTTTTGTGATCCTGATCACAAGAGGAAACATCCGGGCTCATTGGCGGTGCGCTGAGAAACCTGGCAGTACGTCTGAACTCCATCAGTATTCAGACCTTCTGACCAATAGCAGAGGGCCTTCATTGCACCACTGTTTCGGGACCGTCTGAATGCCTCGAATGGTTTCCATCCTACGGAAAGCTCTACAGCTGACTAGAAGAGTGGACTGTATCGACGTGTCTTGGCAGGAAACGGTGAGAACAGCAAGCTGCAATGTGGAGGATGTGACTCTGGTTTCACAGAATGAATATCAAGTGCGCAGCGTTGGCTTTTCCAGGTGCGGTTTACACTTTGCTGTTTGTGTTTGGGTGAGCACAGACACCCCGCAGACAGTGCTCGTTGGTACCAGGAGAAAGTGAGGGAGGGGACATTGTGGTCTTTGGCTTCATCTCTGCATTCCTAGCTGACTGGCCAGATATTACAAGCATGTGCAGACCGTTCCCGACTTACGGCTGGGTTTTGTTCTGATGACCCGATTGTAAGTCGGTTCTGATGTTAAGTCTGAAACCTCATTTTCTGTTCATCCTATGGACGGTGGATAGTTTACTGACCGATCTCGCTGGTAAACGGAACTTTTGTATCATGATAGAGCGACCCTCTCCGTCCTTTATAATTTGTGGTTTAACTGTTTTATTGACTTTTGATAAAGTGACACTAACATTCTGTTATGGAGCCCTGCTAGTCCACTTGGCTGCTGACTGAAAGGTCTGCGGTTCAAACCCACCAGCTGCTCTATGGGAGAAAGACGCGGAGGTCTGCTTCTGTCACAGTTACTGCTGCCTTGGAGTCCATCCCCCCTCAGCAACCGTACAGGCCACGGTGAAGTCGTTGTGTGAGGCGCCATGTCGTGAATACATCCTCAGTCAGGGATGCCTGTATTGCTTTTGTAGTTGGAAAGGAGAATACACTTGTAACATTCTAGAAGACAACCCAAGAGTTCTGAAGATGTTTTTCTTGGAAGCATCAGGAGAGTAAGGGTGTGTCCCCTCAGCTGGATGCTTGGGGACCAATTCTGAATTGTCTTTCAGCTCGCTGCCACAGCCCAGCTCTCCCTCCACTGAACCTCTCAGTCCAAGCCTGCTCCAGGGTCCTCTCCCTGTCACGGCCCAGTTTAGACTCCGTGTCCTCTTCCCAGTACGTCCTGGTGTAAAACAGCTACTGATTTCAATTTGTTAGGTATTCTATTAGCCACGCCCCCTTGTGTGTGTACATGAATGACTACACACATCACCATACAAACCTCCCCACTGTGTATATGCTGTGTACCTACCTACCCATATGTATACCCCACTACCTCTGTGTGTACACACGTGTACATATGTACCCATGTGAACAACACCCCACCACTGTGCGTATATACATGCATGTGTACATATCTATACACTTTCCACCACTGTGTGTACATACAAGGGTGCATCAGAAATGATCTGCACTCTGGTTGTATTAAATGTCTGTCTATATTCACGGCTGATAACAACACTGAGCGTGCACATGAAATGATTCTGCCGTATCGATGAGTGACCGTGGATTATGTGGTAAATCATTTACAAGTCAGCCCTGGCTCTGTCTATGAAATCATCCACAACAGACCTGGGTTTCGAACAGTTTGTGTGAGATGCGTACAGAGCAACTTATGGAAAGGCAGAAGCAGAAGCTTTGGGACATCTGCAAACAAAATTTGGACCAATACTCGAAGGAAGGTAAAAGTTTCTTCTAAAAAAAATCATTACTGGTGACAAGACATGTATTCATCACTACGAGCCTGAGAGTAAACGGCGGAGTATGGGATGGGAACATCCTCAATCATCGACCAAGAGAAAGTTCAGAAGTCAGCCATCATCTGGAAGACTGATGCTCACAGTTTTCTGGGACTCTCAAGGGTTAGTATTGGAACACTGTCAGGAAAAACATTCAACAATCAGAAGTCTCATTACAGTGAGATGCTCACTGAAGAGCTGAGACCTACACGCTGGATTAAATGCAGAGGATGGCTATCCAAGGGCGCTGTGCTCTTACATGACAATGCATGTCCACACACCTCTGCCCACACTGTTGACACTCTGCAAGAACTTGGTTTTGAGGTGATAAAGCATCCTCCCTAGAGTCCTGATTTTGCTCCATCGGACTTTTCACCTGTTTGGTTCCCTGTAAGCAGCCCTTGGAGAATGAAGAGTCTCCTCTGATGAAGAGTGGGCGGGGTGCATTTGTGGCTCTCAGCTCAACCTAAAACATTTTCTAATAAGGGACTATGAAGACGTGTTGATAGATGGACAAAGTGTATTGAAAAGCAAGGAGATTTTGTTGAAAAATTGTCTTTTTATTTGTATTATATTTGTTTTTTCTAAAAGTTGATTAAAATAAATTTAGCAGCCAGAGTGGGGGTAATTTTTCACTCACCTTCTTTCATGCATATGTATATATTCATACACCCACTCCCCACCACTGTGGGTACATACATGTGTGTATATTCATGGACACCCCACAACCAATGTGTGTATGTCTATGTATATATACATATCCATACAAACACCTCTCCCTCCTGTGTGCAAACATGCATACACACACATCCACATGGACACCCCACAGCCATATGTATATGTGTGCATACATATACATGTATACTTATAAACACACATGCGCATACACATTACCACCGCAGCACGCACATGCATGGACACATATATCCATATGAGCACACATGGTTGTCCATGTGTCACGGTGTGCATGTGCACACACCATATACATGTGTATGCATGTACCAGTATGAACACACTTGCTACTGTGTGTAAACACATGTACACACACATAACCATACGAACTCCTCCCCACCACAGTGTATGCATACAGACATACACTGGTATCCATGTGAGCACACCACCGTGTGTACACACATGCACATACACATAACACAAACACCCCCCCACACACACACTGTGTGTACACACGTGTTACATTTGTATCCATGTGGATGTGTCCTCAGTGCTGTGAGGGTACATGCCCATCTGTGCAAACACATGTGTGTAATGAAGACACAGATGGGCTTGTCCTGGGAGGTTAGTGAACCGAAGTTGAAGAGGAGCCTCTTTAGCTCCACGTTGAGACCGTGTCAAGACTGTGCCTCTCTCAGCAGACACAGACGGTGCCCCGGTGTCCCCACACTCCCAGACACTCATCTTCTGTCCCTGCGTGCTCGTTCTGAAAACAGCACAAGATCCCATCCTCCTCTGCTCACTGGTGACCTCTCTGGTTGTCATTTTACATGGAATATAATCTTTTGAGGAGTCCTGGTGTGGCGCTGGGGTTAATGTGCCAGACTGCAAAGCCATTTGAACTGCAACGTCAGCAGTTCAAGCTCACCAGCTGCTCCTTGGAAACCCTGTTCAGGGTCGCTATGGGTTGGAACCGACTTGATGACACTGAGCAACAGTAGCATTCTTTTGAGTGGAATATTCTGTCGGTGATTTATTTTGTGTGTATGGATGTGGTGGAGAATCGATGACTTTTCTCTGTGCATTGTGTGGATGCTACTCTTTCGTTGTTTGCTGTGGTACTGTTGTCCTTTGAGACTCATTGTGGTCATTTTGTGGTCCTTTCAGGTTCTCTCCATCAATGAAGAAGGGCTGAGACGGTGTGAAGAAAACACTAAAGTCTTTGGTCGACCTATCAGGTAGATATGGGGTTAGGGTTGTGCTTCCTGTTCATTTGAGAATCAGAATCCGATGTTCCTAGTTCTTTGGGGGACCAGCCTCTAAAGGTTTTCTGTTTCCCATCGTGTTTAGAAAATGGCTAAAAACAGAATGAGAGCACGTGTGAGGGGAAGCTGCCGGCTCCCAGCCTCTCTTCTTCCCTGGGGATGGAGAGCAGAGCGTGTTTGGACGTAAATGATGTCTTTGTGGCCACATCCCCAGTGACATGCCTCCCTGTCCCCGCAGCTCGTGGACTTGCCTGGTGGACCTGGAAGGGTTGAACATGCGGCACCTGTGGAGGCCCGGCGTCAAGGCCCTACTGCGCATCATCGAGGTGGTGGAGGCCAACTACCCCGAAACACTGGGCCGCCTCCTCATCCTGCGTGCTCCCCGAGTCTTCCCTGTGCTCTGGACGCTGGTGCGTGTGGAAGCTGTGTGTGCGCCCCCGCCCCGGTGTCCCTGTGCCCTGGACCTTGGTGTAGGCAGACGTTGTGTGCGGAGACCATGCTTACTTATGTCCATAGACATACGTCTGTTCCCAGAAGGAGTCCTGTTAGATGGTGGTTCACACCCACCCAACGGCCAGTATGTTCCCATAAAGATTTCGCTCTAGGAAACCCTGTGGGGCGGCTCCACTCTGTTGTTTAGGGTCACTGTGAGTCACAGTCCACTCGACAGGCAACACAAAAAAACGTCTTAATTGTTGCCGAGGTCCGTCAAGTCGGGTCCAACTCATAGCGACCCTGTGTTACCTCCCCTCTCCCTCAACAAAGACTTGAGCCACCACCTTAGAGACTTGAGTAACTGCGGCAGGCTAAGAGATCTGCTGGATAGAAACCCCTAAATCCTGCAAATGGACCCTGCATCCCTCCCCCTCCCTCTGCCCCTTGTGCCGCAGGGTAAATTCGGACTCTGAGAAGCAGAGCACAGAGCCAGTAGGACTAACTCTTGTCCCCACGCCTCCAGGTTAGTCCGTTCATTGATGACAACACCAGAAGGAAGTTCCTTATTTACGCAGGAAATGACTACCAGGGTCCTGGCGGCCTGCTGGACTACATCGACAAGGAGATTATTCCAGATTTCCTGAGCGGAGAATGCGTGGTACGTGTGGACGCCAAGAGCAAAGCTGCATCCAAGTGGGGGGCGGTGGTCTGCACAACGGGGCCCCAGAACGTTTGGTGTGCCTCGTTTTGTGTTTTGGATGTGGTTGCCACGCCATTGAAACATTTAGGTTGTGATCTAGAGCGTGATCGCGTCTTTCTTGTTCACGACAAAACACCTGATGGTACAGTTCAGTGTGAATCTGGTCTTTGAGCTCTTTGTACAGGTACCAGGCGGGTTTTTAAAGATAAGCTGGAAAAAAACAGTTTTCTGAAAGACTGACTTCTCAGGAGTAAGGATAGCATCTTTAAAGTGGGAAATGAAAGCAGCTGGGTTTTTAGGTAATTGGTTTATGTTTTTAAAAAAATCCAAGGGGGCGTCAAAAAGTTCTTGGAAAAATTCCCTTGTCTTTTCATTCCATTTTTCCATGAGTTCATAGACGTGTCCTCACGTGCTGAATTGTTGGCTCGATCCTGAAGGAATCGGAGGGGGATGTACCCTGGGAACCGTGGTGGGGGACATGGGGGCCCAGCACCCTGGCCAGGGGGCGGAGGAGACGGACAGCCCCAGCACTAGTCTGGAGTTCTCTGTGGCCGGGGGGTCTCCAGTCACCCTTCGTGGTAAATAAGAAACGTCCTCACTGCATCCGACTCATGGATTTCGCTAGCCAGTTGGGCTCTTGGGCGGATTTTCCAGAGTTTAGCCCTCAGCTGGTCATGCCCAGCTTTGAGGAAATGACTGGCTTAGTGGTGGAACAACCACATGGAGCGGGTGGAGTTTAGCGTCTTTGTGGGACTCGTGGAAGGTCCCCGAGGCTCCCACTTCTGCGGGGGTGCTGAGCTCCAGGAGCAGGGACCCGCATCTCGCAGTTCAGGCCTGCCCTTGTTCACTGCCGCTCTTGGCCGTGGTCCTCCTGCTCCCCGGGCTCAGGGTTCCACCGCTGATCCGTCAGTCCAGTCCTTCCCTTACATGAGGCTGTTACTGGGGCGTCCTCCCTTCTTACCGTCCACAGAGGACCGAGCATCTGACTTCTCCCAAGGCTGGCCACACCCTCGGATTTTATGAACTGAAGTGGGATGTCATTGTATCACTTGTGGGAATCCAAATTCAACTCAGCTGGGGCCTCCCAGCGAATTAAAAGGGGGTTCTCTCCCCTGTTCCTCTCTGCTTAGTGAGTAGTACAGGCTTACATGGACTCCTGGTGTGGCGCTGTAGGGTCAGCACTGGACTGTGAACCACAAGATCAACAGTTCAAACCCATCAGCTGCTCCTCAGAACCCCTGTACAGGGTCATTGTGCATTGGAACTGCTCTATGGTACTTAACAACTATGACAGACTGCCATAGCGATCATATGTCCAGACCCTAGTTATGTATGAGAAAAATGGTGCTTGTCACTGTGGATGAGACGCTCTCCTATCAGTTGGTTTCCTCTCTAGGGCAGCAGAGACACTGTCCATCTCCCATAAGCCCATGCTCCTCATTGATCTCGGCACTTGTGCTGTTGGCGTGAGTGCTGTGGGAACTCAGCCTAGTCCTCATTCCCTGGAGGCAGAACACGTGTCTTGACGTGGTGGCTGGAGACTCTCAGGGCATCCTCAGTGTCCCCTTCTCTAGCCGCCATCCAGGTGCTGAGCAGAATGGCCATGACATGTGCCCGCAGCCCTGCGTGCTGGTCGTGGACTCAGAGGCCTGTCTGTCTTTCCAGTGTGAAGTGCCTGAGGGTGGGCTGGTCCCCAAGTCTCTGTACCGGACGGCGGAGGAGCTGGAGAACGAAGACCTGAAGCTGTGGACCGAGACCATCTATCAGTCCGCGAGTGTCTTCAAAGGGGCCCCGCACGAGGTAGGCCTGCGCAGCGCTGAGAGTGCGGGTCCTCGCGGGTCAGTTTTCCCCTTTGCTCTCTGATACTTAGCACACTTGATATTTAGCGGAGGTGTCCACGGGGGAGGACAGGCATGTCCCGAGCAGATAAGCAGGCACCCCGCACCTTGCTGTGTGAGGGTTCCAACCCCAGATGCCTGGCTCAGGACCCCTTTTCCCAGGCCCTTGCTGGGGTCCTTCCTGGTTGCTGCACACTACACGGCTGAGGAGAGTGCCCCATTGTCACGACACCCTCATGACGTGGAGCACAAGGCCGGGGCGTCCAGCCTGTTGGTTCTGCCCCTCGCGGTGGCCGGCCCAATGGCTGGGTGGCCAGTGGACACGCTGTCTCCGGCTCAGGGCCCTGTTCCGCCAGGTGCTGCTGTAGAGTTCTAAGGCTGGGCAGTGGCGTACGCAGGTGGAGGTGGTGTGTAGTAGGGGCTGCAGGTAGAAGGAAGAATGAGGAGAACCTGCCTGTGGGACCCAGCGATAAATGCCAGCTCGTTTCTCCCTGCAGCGCCCGCCACTGGGAGCACGGGGTCAGCTGACCAGCCTTCTCTCTTCGCAGATCCTCGTCCAGATTGTAGACGCCTCTTCGGTGATCACCTGGGACTTCGACGTATGCAAGGGGGACATTGTCTTCAACATCTACCACTCCAAGAGGTCACCCCAGCCCCCCAAGAAGGAATCCCTGGGTGCTCACAGCATCACCTCCCCCGGCGGGAACAACGTTCAGCTCATAGACAAGGCCTGGCAGCTGGGCCGCGACTACAGCATGGTGGAGTCGCCGCTTATTTGCAAAGAAGGCGAGAGCGTGCAGGTGAGGCGGCCCCGCTCCGTGTCACCTCCTGGACGCCGTCTGTGTGGAGCCGTCCATCCCAGCATCTGGCGGTTCACTACCAGGAGCAGGCCCGCTCAGCACTGCTTTGTCGTCTGCAGGGTTCTCATGTGACACGCTGGCCTGGCTTCTACATCCTTCAGTGGCGTTTCCACAGCATGCCTGCGTGCGCTGCCACCAACCTGCCTCGTGTGGATGACGTGCTGGCCTCCCTGCAGGTGTCCTCACACAAGTGCAAAGTCATGTACTACACTGAGGTCATCGGGTCCGAGGACTTCCGGTATGCACCCTGGCACGGTGGGAGGGTGGGACTGCACGCGTGGCGTGACCAGAGGGAACGGAGGCGGGTCAGAAAGTGGGTGCCTTGTGAGTGCTGATCAATCTCCTCTTCGCCTTGTCCCAGGGGCTCCATGACCAGCCTGGAGTCCAGCCACAGCGGGTTCTCGCAGCTGAGTGCCGCCACCACCTCCTCCAGCCAGTCCCACTCCAGCTCCATGGTCTCCAGGTAGTGGCCCGAGGCCAAGCTCCCGCCCGGCCGCACTGCGCAGACGCCGCTCACTCTAGCTAGCAAACTGGTTCTCCAGATGGTAAACTAGTCATTGTGACCCCGAAACTATCTCCACAGGCAGTCTTCACTCCGACCCTGACTAACACAACAGCCATAGGTCTTGTATCCAGTGTGCACAAAATCAGAGCAGAACGCAAGGGCTCTCTCAAGAGACAAGGAGTTTATATGTTACATGTAGCAGCTCAGAGATTCCACTTTGTCTCCCGTGTTGATGCAAAAAAATTTTTTCAAGCAAAACTCCACGCAGTTTGGTCGTACCTTAGTGAGTGGAACCTTACATCCTCAGAGACGGGGCCACCGCCTCGTGGGGAGCAGAAACCTGCACCTCGTACCCCACAAACCTCACCCTGTCCTCACGTGCCCCTTGCTCTTCAAGATGCTGTGTGGATTCGACATCGGCCCTCCAGGGTCCTTCCGCATGAGCCGATGCTGTCACTCTACAGGGCCCACAGGGGGCGTCCCAGAACCTCAAGGTGACCGTCACCACCCTCAGCCTCTGCGGTCTCTCTCCTCCTTGACCTGTGTTTTGCCATCTCTCAGAGCAGGGCTTCTCTGCACATGAACTTGGGTCTGGGGCCTCTTTTCTCCTTCCTACCTGTTCTAAACTCACAGGGCCATCTCCCGCCGCCCCAGGGCCCTTCCTAGAAGAGCAGTTACAAAACCAAGTGCACTGTGTTGTTAGTGACAGATAGTAGCATGTGGCTTATCGGAGCCCTGCTTCTTTGTATGTGGACCGAGGTGTGTGTGTGTGTGTGTGAGAGAGAGAGAGCACACACGAGACCACTGGTAGGGGAGGGGCAAATAGAACTTCTGCTGGGGAACCCAGATTCTCCATAGAGGTAAATCAGCAGAGGGGCTTACCCTCCACTTCCCTCCGGACCCCTGTCTCGAGGGGCCCCGGTGCGCTCTTTGGGGAGCAGTAGGCTCCTGGTGAGTCGGTCAGCCCCATGGTCTCTGAGCAAGGTCCGGGTGACAGCTGTGCAGTGGGTGATTTTGCATGTCACAGACAGAGGTGGTGATTTTAAAGGCACGTGCCAAACCTGTTCAGCCACATCTGTGTGTGACAGGCTTTTCGATAGAGCCCGGAGGATTGACCAAGAGCCACTCTGAGGTGGTGGCTGGTGACCTGTGGCCACAGGGAGTATGTGGAGGGTGTGTGTGCCCTGCGGGGAGGTGTCGGCAGGCCAGCCCAGCCCCAGCCCCCCGACCACAGCTCTGAGCTCACGTTGGCCCCTGAAGCACCTTCCAGAATGCAGGGCAGGGGCTGTGCCAGAGAGCTCCTCGTCTCCGAGCCTGGAAGACCTGAAGACAGTCCCTTCTCTCTGTCTGTCTCTCTGTCTCTCTCTGTGTGTCTCAGATGGCGATTCTGCTGACAACCACAGAGAGCACACGTCACTCGCCAGGCCACATCTACCCAGGGACGTTTCTAGAAACTCCCCACCCCCGCTCTGAAGAGCTAGTTTTTTTACAGCCACTTGAAAACAGGCACTATTTTACCCCCAAAGAGTCGAATGAACCTTTCAAAATTGAAAGCACAGATGTTCGTCCACAGGGTCCCTCCTGAGTAAACTCCGCTGCCTCACCCCCCTCCTTGTGTGGGGGCCTGCGGACGCTTCACCCCACAGCCTCTGCTGCCTGCATTCGGCCCCCTCTGTCCCCCTCTCTCCAGTCTGCTGTCGTCCCTTTTGTCCACAAACTTTTGATTTCCCTCTCTGTCTGTTACTGATACCGTTACTAGGCTCCTTCCGGAAACGCGTTACTTGCATATCAAATTCTGTATAAACGTTTTTAAGCATATTACCTCACTGCTGGTAATACAATACTGATAGTCTTTACAAGATTTTTTTATTGTTACCCAGAATAAATGTGAACTGTTTCAAGAACAGAGCGTCTCTTTGTCACTGTGCACGACGACCCTAGAACGATGCCAAGCAAGAGAATAGACGACAGGATGAGTACTGTCAGCTGCCCGTGGTCCAGTGAGGGACACCCAGGCCCTGGGTGGTCCTGCTGACTCTTCAACCAAGTGGGCCCAGGGTCTGGGTCCAGCTGCCGATTGGCAGGAAAGAGGGAGGGGAGGGCTTCAAAAAACTTGTGGGAAAATTCCACTATCTTTCCATTCTGTTTTCCCACGAACCTTTTAAAGCTCCCTGGAACAGAAATTTGTGGGACGAGTCACACAGCACAGTGGACACAAAGGTCAGAGAAGGTGAGAAGGGAAAGCAGTGGGGGGTTTCTGGAAATGATGAGACCTGTCAGGTTTTGAGTCACTGAGTCAGTTTAGACTGTTGTTGGCAGACACCGAGCTGGTCGGCGGGGCCGGGGTGTGCAGTACAGTACAGTCTTGTCTTTAGTTAGGATTTACAGGTGCCAGTTTGCCTTTGTTCTTGGAAACCAGGTTTCTGTCTTTAATCCTAGTTGTTGGCAGGAAATATGGTCTACCACATGGTCTGGGTGCACCCACAGGAGCCAACGTCTGATTTAGCCGAGCGAGGACGGCAGAGCAGGCCAGCAGGGCCGTGTGACCGCCGAGGCTCCGGCTGTCCCTTGTCCTGTTGGTTCTCCAGGAGCGAATCTCAGGCTTCCCCATCGATGCTCTGCTGTCCTGGACCACCCGCAACTTCAAATAGGGGTAGCAGGGCTGTATCATTAAATAGGGGTAACCAGGCTTTTCTCATCAAATGGGTAAGGGGGCTTTCTCTCATGGATAGGTGTAATCAGGATTCCGTTTCTTCAAGTAGTAGCCAGGTTCCCTCCTCAAATTCTGCCTGTAGGTAGGGTTCCCAAGGGAGCAGGAAGCTTCCCTTTTCTCCTGCTGAATAATCGGTAAATTTGAACTGCTCACCTTGCAGGTCACAGCCCCAACAGCTGATCCTCACAACGAGACCAACAAATTGTTTCTAAGTGCCAACTCATAGCAACTTGTGACTGGTGGGTTTGAACCACCAACCTTATGGTTAGCAGTCTAGTGCTTATCCTATAGCAGCACACCAACAAACAGCATCATGATATATGGAGAAGAGATTGAAGTTGTCAAAGACTTCATTTTGCTCAGATCAAACACCAACACTCATAGAAGCAGCAGGCAAGAACTCAAATGATGTATTGCATTGGGCAAATCTGCTGCACAAAACCTCTATAAAGTGTTCAAGAGCAAAGATGTCAGTTTGAGGACTGAAGGGCTCCTGACCCAAGCCATGGTATTGTCAATAACCTCATATGCATGTTGGGTATGAGGTGGGATAGTGAATAAAGAAGACTGTAGAAGAATTGATGCACTTGAGTTTTGGTGCTGGAGAATATTCCAAGTGTCATGGGCTGCCCAAAGAACAAACAGATCAGTGTTGGAAGTAGAGCCAGCCAGAGTGCTCCTTAAAAGCCAAGATAGTGCGACTTCGTCTCTCATACTTCAGACATACTACCAGGAGGGACCCTGGAGAAGGACGTCATGCTTGGTAAAGTGGAGGGTCAAAGCAAAAAAGGAAGACCTTTAGAAAGCTGGATTGGCACAGTGGCAGCAGCTATGGACTCAAGAGTAGTGACAATTGTGAGGTTGGTGCAGGATTGGGCAGTGTTTTGTTCTGTTGCGCATAGAGTCGTTGTAAATCAGAACTGACGAGATAGCACTAACAACAGATCTTCAAATAGAGTGGAACTCTCTCTTCAAATGTGGGGAGCTAGACTCCACCTCTTCAGATACGGATACCAAGTTCTGTCTCTTCAAATGGGAGTAAGCGGGTTGTGTCCTTGTCTTTGGGTTCGGCTCAACAAGGAAAGAGCCCGTGCTGCCCTCTGTCCTGGACTGAGTGTCAGCAGCTGCGAGGTCTGGTGCCATGCCGTATCCCAGGGATCCACAACCCTTCCAGCTGCTGTGGCGCTGACCCCCGCTCATGGCGCCCCCACGTGTCTGCGAGTACAACTGCATACCACAGGGTTTTCAGGGAGTAGATGGTTAGGCATTTGTTCCAAGGTAGCACTTGTTAAGTGCCGTCGAGTCAGTTCCGACCCATAGCGACCCTCTATAGTCTATCATCATATAGACTGATGAGCTTGAACCACCGACCTTGCAGTTCAAAGGGCTTTTCAGTCTGGCGCATTAACCCACAGTGCCGCACAGGACTCGGTAGTCTCAAACCCTTAACTTCCAGTTAGCAGCTGAGCCCGGTGACATTTGCACCATACAGGGACCCCCATTCCCATATCTAGAATGATGGCAGAGACAGGCCAGGGGGGCTGGGAGCAGGACCCACCCCTGGAGCTACCCGTAGAGTCAAAAATGAAACCTCAGCTACCAAGCCCTGCTCTTCCCAACTTGCAAGGCCAATGGACACCCCAGGACCAGAGGGCCCCGGGAGCTCCAAGGGGAGAATGAAACCCAACCACAGCAGAGCCCTCGGGTGGTGGTGTAGAATCAGCACTAGACTGTAACCACAGAGTTGGCAGTTCAAACCCACCAGCTGCTCTTGGAAACCCTATCCAAGTCCGAATTGACTCAGCGGCACTTAACAAACAGTGGCCTGGAGGTGCCCTGTCTTCCCAGCGTCTCTCAGGTGGCGCCACCTGGTGGCCACACCAGAACTACATCGTCTGTCACCTGGCTGGACCTGCAGCTCCCCTTCTAGAGATTTTGGAAGTTCAGCAGACTGGACCATCTGGAGTTAACTCATTTCGTTTGTGAGCACGTGTGAGGGGGAGTGAGTATATTGTAAGTGTGTATTTCTTCATTCTTTCCGATTGTAGAACAAAATAACAGATTTCTCAAACTTCTGACATGTTATAAGGAGGGATCGGTCTCTGCAGAAGGACATCGCGCTTGGTTAAGTGGAGGGTCAGGGAAAAAGAGGAAGACCCCAACCAGATAGAATGGTACAGTAGCAGAAGCAGCAGTGGGCTCAAACATAACAATTGTGAAGTTGGCACAGGAGAGTCTCTGTGAGTCAA